CGAAGATGTTATGCAGTTACACTACTCTTAAAGATGGCGTGCAAAGGTGTGCTTAAACATGCACACACGTATATAACAACACTGTGTATTTAGAGGTGCCTTCAGACTTAAACTAACCAGATGGTCACAGATTTACAAAGTGCAAAAATACACTAAAACAAATTGCTATTAGGAACATATAGAATACATTGCCTGAAATGTGAAAGAAGCTATTGTCAGAATATTGACACTGCTTGATATAAAACAATGAAGCTCTTCCATGATCAATGGGTTTGAAAACACACTACACCAGTCTGCAGAATTTTAAAAGCACTGCTTTTTCCAGCATCGGATTATGCACTTAAGTCATCTCATGAATTCAAAGTAGTAAACTGTTAAATTCCTGCCGACTTTGTGACATGCTTGACACAAACTATGTGTGCACAATACTGAATGTTTTCTTGTATTTTTAGATAAATTTGGAGGAAAAAAGGGGAAGTTACAGATTAAGCATGAGCAAATAATTTATTCTTCTAGTTATTTTTTTAAATTGTATCTAGGTGAAACTTTCAAAGAGTATGCAGACAGCTTTATTTAATAAGAACAAATATTTTGGATGTAGAAGGGAAAGGAAATACAGGTAAAGAAATTTTTATTTTTTAATCACACAGGACAACATTCAAAACTATTTAAAGTTGTGGCATGAGCAAGTCATACAGATATTACTGCTAAAACTATAAGCACTTAAATACTATTGTTTATCCTCCTGGCATAATCAGGTTACAGTTACTACCAACATGTTTGGTCCTGCAAAAATCCTAAACGTTTTTGCACTTATAGACTACGCTTTACATTTTTTCACTAGCTGAACTGAAGCTTTGCTTTCCTCCACATATTTTTTTTTAAATTCTGTTTATTCCCCATTTTAGATTACAAAATGATTTCATTAGGATGCAAACAGCCATCTTCAGTTCTATTCCTGTCTCCCAGTACACACCCTACTCAAATGGAAGCAAATGAATACCCCACACAAACAGCAGGTAGAGCTTATAAAAATTCAGTAGAGTTCCCGTTAAGGGCATTCTTGTGACAAAACAATTTCTGCAAGAGATAGTTCTGGTACTAAAGAACATACATTGCATGCAAAAATTCTGTCAAAATGTAGTTGGTTAACAATTGGCTTCAAAAAAATTACTCTGAAAGACATTATTAACATTGCAGTAAAATAAACAAGATCACACATTTTGGCTTTTCTGAGCATTAGCTTAACATGCTGGAAGATAATTGTTTTCTGTGGGAATTGTATCACCATCTCATTTTCTCCATCATTACTGCCTGGATGCCAAAGCAAACAAACTAGACACTTAAACAGCTGAGATGACTTTTGCATAATAGCTCATTTCAGATCTCTTTAAATGTCAATAAATAAAAGTTCGAAAACCAGTAAGAACCTATTTTGGTCACCACAGTATTATAGGTTCTCTTCATATAAAATCTCTCTTTGATCTGAGTCAAATTTCAGTTATGGACATTTTTACTTTTGCACTTAAATATTTCCTTTTTAGGAACACCTGATAATTTAAGTAAATTTTCTATAGCCAATGAGATTCTAATCAAATTTGGAAGGTACATGTCAGATGAAGAAAAAGAATGAAATAATGATAACCCTTCTCAAATGGAAAACAAACAATACTCATCTTCCTGGTACTACAGAACAAATTCTCACTAACAAATGTCTCAAGACTTCACTCCAAATGATCTGGATGTAAGACCTTTAAACAATGTAACTTGGCCCCACCAAAATCGAAAGCTGCAGTAACTTTAAGCCACAGCCATACCCGTGTGCATGCACTCATGTGAAAGTATCGCACACACTAAATTGCACTGAGGCCGTGACAACATGCAACTTAGTAATGTGCAATATCTCCACCAGAGCAAGCAGAATGAGAGCTTCAGGGAAGAAGGGTATGGTGCATTCGGGAAGAGAACGACATGCTGCTCAGGGAAAGGAAAATGGTTCAGGCAAAGGTGTGCATGCTACTACTTTGGAAACCTGTGAATTTGAGAACTACTGCTTCATCCATTCGGGGGGATGGGGGTGGGGGGGGAAGCGGAAACAAACCACGGACAAAAGCACCACTTTCCTATTTCAGCGGTGCAAGTCTCAAGGTCCTAATTTTCCCTATATACAGGGCGAGGTAGGTGAGGAATGAACTAATTTTACTCCACAGAACAAAGTAAAACACATACCCTGACTTGCTCCAAATTACCTAACGATCTGCCCTACCCCTCAAAATGCTACATTATTAACAAATTAATAGAAATTTACACTAATTTGTATTGAGAACTGAAGTATCTAAATCCAGTAAACTGGTCTTACTGGTTCTTACATTTAGAAAGCAAGCTGTTGTCTTCTCAATCCTGATTGAGAACGCCGAGGAAAAAATTCTTTCAGCTCATCCTACTCCAGCATCAGCCCGTTTGCCACAGTTCCCTGTCTCCTACTCCCCTTCCTCCACCGCTTCCTCTGGCTGAGCTTTAAGAACAGTTTTGCTGAAAGAAAACTATGTTTGCTACATTCATGAAATGCCAAACAACGCTGCCAATCATAGTATGAACCCTTGCATCAAATTTTTGCTTTGATACATGACTAAACAATATAGAAAATAAGACAAATGAGAAAAAGAAACCATGGAGAAAAGAACAGCAATAGGTAAAAGGTAAATAGAGTATTTACCAAGAAGTAGTAAAGTGTGACCACAGCAACAAATTTAAAATGAGAGTGAGAGTTTGCTTGAAAGTCAAAGAGATAAAAACAGATAAAACAGATCAAAAAAAGTGTTGAAGGATCAAAATTATTAGAGGACAAAAAAAACATTTCACTATTGAGGAGTTAACAGCATTCACAACTATCATTTTCCTACCTCATATTTTCATTCCCACCTCATTTGCAGGGAACGTCCAACGCAATTCTAGCAATGCGTGCAGCATGACACGTTCCATTTAAAACGGCACCAGTGCTTCACACATCAGTCAGTAAGCCCTGCAGTAGCATGTGCCTTTGCTAGCATCTTCCTCCAAATTTTGTGCTACGTTTTTAGTGGGATCATTATACAAATATCTGTCTCCCCCTCTCTCCACAGATTAAAAAGCGTTTTCCTTAAAACGTAAGCTATTAAGGGGAACAAATGGAAACATAAATGAAAAAGAATATAAAAGCTCTTATTACATTCAATTATTAACACGTTATTGTGAAAGTTACTATAAATTGGGAAGATTTAAGAATAACATGCAAAACCACATTTCTTCTACAAATAAAAAACCTTCAGTTGCTGCTGAAGGATATCTTGAAGCCTAATGGAACTAATTTATGAATCCTGTGACACCTCAAAGCCAAATGCTTATGGCCATTTCAAATATCCACACACAAAGAAACCAAAGCAATAAAGGGTAAAATAGGACTAGGAGAAGGCAGTTCACTGTGTTCCCCTTTGCCTCTTGTCCTGGAAGTCTAGAAATGCTAAATCATACTTCTAGATTGGAAGTCTCATGTTGAGGGGCTCCTGAGAGAACAGAACAAGGTATTTTCTGTGTTTACTTCCCTCTACTCCGTATACTGCAAGTGCTGGAAAGGAAAGAGTTTTTCCCCTGCAAATCCTTCTGGATGCTGCAGTTCTGGTGCTACTGAAGGATCCCTCAAACAAAAAAGCAACCAAGCAGCCAATGCTTTCAAAAGTAACTACATCATCAGTGCAGATAATTCCAACAACCTTTTATTTGTAGTACAGTAAAAGAAATTGAACTAAAAGGCAATTGGAAGACTTCTGAAAAAGAAGCGTTCCCTTCTTATCATTGACTAAAAATTATATATAAACGCATACATATATACACGGATCCAAGCCAGAGGCAACAGGGACGGCTCCTCTGCACACCACCACCAGTCCCGGGCGCCGGCAGAAGCACGAGCTCCCTACACAGCTGCATCCTCTCCCAGCAGCTTCCCAGAGCCGGGGAGCAGACGCCTCCCAAGGGCCAGGCAGGCAGCAAAGCCTTGCCACACTTGTCACCAGTCAGCCCCAGCCTCAAAACCACCCCTACCGAGGGCAAGCACAACACGCCTGCCTCCTCACCTCCCAGCCACAAAACAAGCCTCTGCCTTCTCCAAAGGAACAACGCGCTCTGCACCTGCTTACGCTCCTCTCCTCTTCATGCTTCCTGCGCCCCCAGGAAGCCTCCCCCTCCATCTTCAACCACCCAGCAGGCAGCCCCACACACAAGCAGCTCAACACACCAAGACCCCACTCGCCACCTCCTCCTCCTCCTCCGCACACCAAAAGGAGCACCCCAGCGACCTGCGGGGCCCCTCCGCCGCACTCCTCCTGTCACCCCGCCACAACAGCCCCAAGCAACACAGGCCCTCTCCTCCCCTCAGGCCACACGACATCCCACCTCTGCTCACACCACCAACGGCGGGAGCGGGCGGGCGCCCTGCGGGGCAGGAAAGGGCAGCTCCCACAAGCCTGCAAGCTCTACAGTTCTTTTATTGATGGCTCTGGGACCCTGCGCAGGCGGGATGGCCTAACGCCTCCTTTCCCACCGGGGGCACGGCCCCCTTCTTCGCCCGCTCTCGGCTTCCCGCTCGCGGGCCGCACGGCCTACGTGCAGGCCCTTGAGAGGCCCTCGCCCTTCGGCAACCATGGCGACGCCCCCCCTGCCCAGGCCAGCCCACACAGGGCCTTGCTGGGCCGTGCCCGCTTCGCTGCAGGGGGGTCCACCTCCACCGCCTCCACCCGGTCCGTCTTCAGCAGGCTCCACCTCCATTGCTTCCTCAGCCTCTGACGGAGGGCCCACCTCCATCCGTCCCGCCCCAGCCTCTGCCGCACGGTCCGCCTCCACGGGCTCCTCGACACACCTCGCGCAACCACCAGCGCCGACTCCCACGCCCCTCGGGCGGTACCAGACAGTCTCCCGCTTTCGGCACGCCCCCCGGCCGCTCACGCCCACCATGGAGGGACCCCTCCATGCTTCACAGCACCCTTCTTCAACGCTCCTCCCAAAGAGGGGCAGCCGCTCCCCTACGCCTCCCTTGGCGGGCCCAAGCGCCGGCCACACAGGCCTCCGACCTCAGCCAGGGCCTGCCGCCTCAGAGATGCCCTCTTTTCCAAGAGCCACGCGCTCTCCCACGCCGCCAGCTCAGGGCCCCTTTCCTTGGCCTCCTTCCCACACCCCGTGTTGCTGCGCGCGCACAAACGCTGCCCTGCGGCACGGGCACTGCCGTCAGCCTCCCCCGTGCACCCCCGCCTCCAGACCCCTCCTCAGCCTGCACGCCTGCCCCTCGCTTCCTGCCTCGCACTCTCCGGCCAGTCCCACAACACACACACAGCCCTCCACCCCACCCCTCCCAAGGGCCCCCCAAAGGGCAACTCTCACTTCCCTCCACCTGCCCACCGCCCTCCAACACCACCCAGACTCCCCCTTCACCGCCACGCACACTCTCTACCCCTCTTACCCCACTGCCGCGCCTTGCTCACCTCTGGGCAAACAACATCCACTGCTCTCCCCTTGCCCCATGCGGCCGCTCAGCTCCTCGGCACAAGCTCCCACTTGCGGCCCGGCAGCAACACTTGCCCTCGGGGAACCCCAAACACACCCCCACACCTGCCTCCCACCACCTCCTCTAGCCTGCTGCCGTTCCGCCTCCCTTCCCGCTCCAAACACCACCACATTTCCTTTCCAAGGCCAAAACACCATTTTCCCTCAAGGGCAGCCGCAGACAACTCCTTGGGGCCCTGCAACCTGCTCCACTCTCCCAGCAACACTGATGGCGTCATCACCCATCTTGCAGCTTACCTGCTCCCCCGTCTCAAGGGCACGCGTCACTGCTCACTTCATGTGACAGAAACAGAGATTCTATCTTTGGCTCAGAATGATCTAAATGATTTTAGAAAAGCAAGGATAGCTTCTACATTGGCTAGAAGTGGCAATTGTTCTTCTTAAGGCACAAGACTGGACATGCACAAACTCAAGAGAATTTATTACTATACTCTTCTATTCATATTTACTTACTAAAGACCACATTAAGCATTAAGTGTAAGCTGTTCTAGAAGCCCTATGACAAATCCCTGCATACAGCTGAGGAAGAGATATGAACTTCTGAGTATATCAGAAGAAACATTCCAAGAATCCAAACACGGTATTTAATTACAGGCTACTGCAGGCCAGGGAACATTAAAGATGGATTCAGACTACCTGAATGGTAACGTACAGTGAGTTCTTCTTATATAATAGAAGTAGTTATGTATGACAGGCAGCTTCACATCCTACGTTCTCCAGATATAGGCTTTTCTCACTGTATTATACACTACTGATGCATGCTGCCTTTCCTACTCTTCTTCCTGTTGTTTCTCTAACATTGCTTTCTTCTTTCTTGGTTCGTCTGTGTCACAGACCTATAAACAAAAATTGTTTTTGATACTATCTATTTTGCTCATTACTTATGCCCAGGAAAGCCCTATCCTAAGCGTGACACTCTTCCCATGTTCCAGTGGCTAATTAGCACAATTTGATAGATTAACAGTATCAGTTTATAAATCTGCTCACATCTTTCAGAAGAGATATAACTGAGGTATTAACCACTTACAATCAGTGAGAAGTCAACAGCAATTTCTCAAGAGAAGGGCTATTAATTTTCTGGCAAAATTATAAATTAACTTCTCTCTTTCTAGACTACCCCTTAATTTCTAACTGCTACAGCAGTATCATTTACTGTTCAAGTTCTTGCACGGCACAATAGAACCTGGTAATTGCCACAGCTTACCTAGAAATGTCTTAGTTCCAGTAACAGGTAACGACACTCATGTAAGGCAGACATAAGAACAACAACAAACATTCCGTAATGGGTTGGAAAAGCAGTTTAACATATCGCAGGTTTAAACTGTTTTAAACATGTGTGCAAGATGACACAGAAAGCAGCAGTGTAGGAGATACGGGCTGTGTAGCATTTAGAGTGGAAACTGGTTGACTTCATTCCATCCCTCAGCTTTTTAAAGAAAGAGAGCAATGATTTCAGCACCTGATTTAAAATCTGCTTAATATATTATCAACATGCTAGCATTTCAAACTGTTAGCAGGTGAAAGCTGATAGCTTCCCTCATCACAAATACCTTCCTTATTGCACCACTCCAGAAATTATTTTGTTGGGGAATCTCAGTGAAGCATATTAAAAACAAAAAAACAAAAAAACCCACATAAACACAAATCCTCCTTCTGTTATTGTAGCAGTTTTGTGCTTACTACTCATGTTCTGTGTCTAAACATCACAGATGCACTCTGCAGGTGCATTTACAGTAAAGTTTTAAGTTGGATAAGGAGAGCACTTCCCTACTAAGCTGCACTACCTGTTAATGCCAACATAGCTGCAGACACACTGTTTGCTCAGGGGTTTGGAATACGATGGGTGGGCTGGTTTGTTTTATGAAATACCAGTGTACACGTCAGGATAGACGTGTCCAAATCTTTTTAGTCGTCCAAGCCCAATCAAATCACTCTAAGAGTCAAAGAGGGCGGAAAAAAAATCAATGCTAGGATCTCAAAAATCTTTCAGATTTGCAACTCATGTCTTTGAAAGATGAGCTGTTCCAACTGCAAAGGATTTGTAGCTGAACTATTATATGCAAATAAGATTTAAGGCAGGATTTTGCAGAAAGGGCAAGAAATCAACAACGTACCTTATTGCCTCTTCCACCGATTGGCCAACTATGTTTGAGGAGGGACCTGGCTGAGACAAAGGCGTCAGGCTAATCACCCATTTTACTGGCTTGTAGTACTCATCACTGGAACTGAGTAGGTAAAATAGCGTGGTCAGGAAAATCACCTGCAAAACAAATTGGAGCTTTAAATTAAAGGGCATTAAATACTCCTCAGAACTACAGTGTGCAGATATGCTTCAGATAATTTAACTTCATTTGAAAAGGCACTAGGCACTATTCCACAAGCCTGGATTTAGAGAAACATACACAGCTAGAAGAATAAGTTTCTGCCCTGCTCCCCAAATGACATAAGGGTTACATCTAAACATCATAACATTTTTAGACCTTTTCTGCTTCAAAGTTGCATCTAGATCAGGTAAGTTTTTGTTTTTCCAGTATATTTAGCAGATCAGAACCTTATTGAATAGCAGCAGTTACTCTTAAAAAACAAGAGATCTGAGTTGTCAAAAGTCATTATATAGCCAGATATAAAATATGACAAAAACAAAATAAAAAACCCTCACCTACACCACAAATAGGAAATTTACAATATTTTAAAGCTGACGCTCCTGACTGAATATTCCTTGCAAAAGTCTGGACATCAGCTTCAGCAGAAGTGATGACAGTTGCATTGTTTCACAGAGTCTAAAAACCAAAAAATACAATCAAATCGCATTAGCTTCCCATGCGTTGCAGACCACTATGTTTTACTTCGAGGGGGTTCAGC